AACTTCCAAAACCTTAGTTTACTAATATCGGATATAATTTATTCAAAAGACAGGAACATTTTGTCAGTTCTGAAAACATATTTGATTAAATTTCCCTTGATTCTTATTCTAACTTGAATTTTTTTTAGTAATAATGAACTAATTGCATATTTAAATCAACAATACACCAACCTTTTTTAATCTATCGGTTACATGTTGGCTGCAGTGTTAATGAAGTAATATTATTGGATTCATTTTATTTAGTCATGTTTGCATTTTTAAGTAATTAGACACATTTTTAGTCTATGCTAATGAACTATGAATGAATGGAATGTTAACATCAAATTTATCGACTGTTTGCTAACACCTTATGCATCTCTCTTCTAATGATCATGTTTTCCATTTGGATTCTGGTCAGTACACTTGAATCTGGCAAACCAGTTATGTCTATGAACTAACTATACAAAAATGTAGTGCTACTATGAGCAGAAGTGACTGCCAGAAGGAATAAAACTGTTTAAGAATAAGATACGATAATAGATCTTGAAGTCATCAGCTGAGGACATGATTCACTTATATAATGTCATCAGAAAGTGAAGTGGGTAGATTGACTTTCCAGTTTTCTGTAAACCACGAAGAGATTAATAGTTTACGCATATGTTTCTTGTTCATTAAATTTCTTTATCATATTCATACCAAATGTGTCTTCCTGTTTTGGTTTCCAACGTCAGAAAGTGAGGCGTTCCACTTCTATGTAATCTTTTTCCACTTATCCGCCTATTTTATTCACATATTTTAGTAAGTGAGATAAGGAAACATTTTTCAGGGTAACGGGAAATGACTAAGGTCAAAGCCTTTCATTTTTAAAAAGTGTCCTTTTGGTGTATTCATCCTCTGAGAAGATTTGCTACTGATGCGCACTGCTAAAGGTAGACGTCCATGAGAAAGATTACTCTATATAAAAGCTTTCATCGAAGATGGCTTAACAGATACTGGTTTTAAACGGTGACTTCATAAAATCTAAGTAATTCTTAAAGGAAACGTTGTGAAGAATCACTAGTTGTCAAATGATATTTGAAACCAATGTCATCATCGATTTCCTCCTCAACACTCAACTGGTTACCATCTTGAAAAGAAGAATCTGGCTTTCCAGTGAGAAACCATAAATTCTGAGGTAGTCTCTCTGTTTGTACAATTGCTTCATCATGCATAACTCTGAAGAAAATGACAAGGCATTCCACGCATCAACTAATGCTTAAGATATCAATTAAAACTAGTCGGGTTTTTCTTCTAAGGTGATAGATAGTCTACCATATACCTGTAAAACGTATTTCTTGATTAGTAAAAGATGCAAAACTATAAATTATATAAGTTCTACTCTAGCTATATGAATCACATCACCTCGTGGTAACAAGCACCACACATTTGTCTCTGTGTAATAAACTCTAACTTCATAAAGGTCTAGTGGTTTGAATTTGACAACATTTTATCATTTAATGATCATGTCTTACTAGAAGTACAACTAAAAGTATATTGAGGATACAGACAACTTTTTGCCAACTTTGCTTTTACGTTACTTTTACAATTAGGCTTCAGATGCTAATAACTGATTTCTAAAAAAACGCGAGAATACTCACAGATTTCATGTTGATTTGAAGGTCTAGTAAGAAATTTTATCGAGAATTCCAAGCAGTTTAACCTGAAATTCGATGAGTCGATTTAGAGGAAATTAACTTATCTGATGGCAGCTGGAAAATAATTCAAAACGTTAGAACGATGCTTGAATCTATCATTCCGATTCCAGACTCCTCAGCAATGCTTCCTCATAAATCTAAGAGAGATTTAGCGTGGGACATTTAGGTCTCGTATCCAGAGCATTACCAATTAGCCACTGGTTCCCATTTTCTTCATTTATGGCATAACATGATTATTGTGCAATACTATTGGAGAATATCTGTCTTAACAATCAACTCAATCAGCTCTTCTGAAAAGTCTAAAACTAGAACAATGTGGCTCTGTTTTGCACTGAGGTCAGGTATGATATTTTGAGCAGACAAGGCATTGGTCAATTGTTTTTAAAATAAGTTGTAAATTATGTGTAAAACGTCCCTGAAAATCTTATCACAGACCTTCAGTAAAGCTGAAGTACTTCATAACAATTGTTTGAGGCTGGTGTAAAAGGCAATGTTTGTATAACAGAATGCTCAATTTAGGATTTTCTGTCCAAGATTTTGTAGGTAACAGATACCAGAAGCATTGCTGAAATCCTCACAAAAAGCAAGGTAATCAACAAAATATAAACTTAGAACCAATTTAACTAAACCATAAAATTCTTAGGAAATGATATTTCATTTTGATAACAAAGTTACTAAGAGTAAATTTTCTTAGGTAATTCAGATAATTATATCCACTCATAGTCATAAATTTCTTGATGAATGATGTTTAAGGGGATGTGACACAGAATGAGCACACCAAAAGATACGAATATTTAAAGATAGGTTTCATCGCAGAACAACAACATATGGAGAACCACTACAAGCTTGAGAACATTGAATAGTTGTTTTGTCTTAGCACAAAGTAATTCACTGAGAGAAAATTACTTTCTGGTCAGTCATTTTCAGTAGCTGTACATTTGTACTTATTATAATAACAAACAAGCAAGTCTATTATTGCCTATATTTATGATGACGATGATGATACTTTCATAGTCTGCGATAATAAAGTTGATCTTGATGATATATTACTGAAACTGAGTGATTATAATACCCCCATCAATATCACATTAAATGTTGAGAACAACTTAGAATTTTATACTTCTAAAATCCTATTGAAGAGGAGCCGAATAACCGTCAAGGAATGTCAGTCTACAGGAAATCAGTTTGGAATAGACAGTAAACTAATTTCCAAAGTTGAGTACCACTGAGCCAAAAAAGAAACCTATTTTATTCACTTTACGCAAGAATTTGCTTAGATGGTACAGTACATGAAGGAATGGAAAACCTTCAAAAACACTTCATGATGGATATCCTTCATGGTTCTTTATCAAAAGTATGAGGCGAAAACAGCAACAAGAACAAGTTTTTTCTGTGCCTTAAAAGATTTTCTTTGTGAATGTTGAATTCAAAAGGATAACCCTAGGGAATTATTGGAGAGTTAGCTTTTTGAGGCAATCCTGTGCTGCTGAGCTGCTAATGATCTCTGATCGAAAGCTGATTCAAGGAAATGTCAAGAATAAACTGCCAGTCAGTGCCATATTCATGTATGTCTTGTAAAGCTGATCATGAAGGCCGCATTAAGTAAGGTCTTTCCAAACACTTCCTCGAGTAATAACCTGTCTGGTTGTCCAAACAAGAATGTAGATCAAGCGACAGCGCCATCTTGAACCATTCGGTCGTCTATGACTGAGTTACTTCCCCAAAATCTTAAACAAAGTCAAATTGATTAGCTAAGAAAAGATGTGTACTCATCACTTATATATTGCAAAGGACTTGAGAAACCAACAAGTGAAATCTGAGCTCTACGTATAAAAGAAGTATTTATGACTCACTTTCCCAAGTCGATACCTGTCAGTTTTGATTTCCCGTTAAAATTTTCGCACTACTTTATGCCAGTTACTAATTATTATTATTATTACTGCTGGTTTTCAAGTTATTAGTTACCACCGTAACCAACTACATCTTTTTTCGCGTGCATCCTATGACTGATTACACAATCTCTAACTTCAGGTGTAATTTACTACTTCCTCATAAAGCATTCCTTCTGTATAACCTAATGTTTACCTACTAACCAATAATGCATATAAATACGAATATGCAGCTACTGAAAATGACTCGTTGAATAAAAAAATTTTTTCACTGAATCGTTTTGTACTAGTTTGAATGTTTTTTCTCAGCATGGGACTCCTCAGTTGTACACATATGAATATTTTCAATGAATACTGATGTTTAGCGAAGATACCATGTTCAATCATCTACTTCATGGATTGACATGTGTAACTTGCTTAAAGATTCTCAATAGTTGACATCTCATATCACACGACCATTGGTCGTTTGTACTTGGTGAATGCTAAATAATGTCTCTTCTCTTGTCATGTGTGTGTTATAAAGGCAAATCTGTTGTTTACAAACAAAAGCATTTCCAGTGGAAAGTAAACGATTAGATGAAACTGAATTTCAGGTTTTCCCAGTGGTTATCTCAATAAACATCTAGTCCATCGATGTTATAAATGTCCTAGGAGGACTGGAGCGGTGAGTCTGATTCGTTCATTACATAAGTAATCTTAAAAATACTTCAAACGTATTCTAAACTTTGAGACTGTAGTAAAGCTGACTTACATAGTGGACATCTACGCAAACGGGACTTATTAAAGGACCATTTTGTTCCTCTAGATGATTCGGTTGAAGTCAATATAGATGCCACAAACATGATATATGGTTCGCGGTACCTCTAATCTACTCAAGTACATATTCAACACTAGGATGATATACCATTAAAATATTTTAAAGAAGACAAACATCCACGTTACAGCTTAAGACTTCCTTCTGTTTGTCCAGCTAGCATCGGTGATTGGTGTACGTTATCTGTTACTACCCATGTCAGTGAGTAGTAAATATCGTATGACTTTTATTTTTATTCTAGGTTGAAGCTTGGACTGGTAACACCTTAATCAGGATAAAATTTGAAATTAAATAAACTTGTTTACAATATGTACATTTTATAACAATGTTAACTGTATTACTAAACTATTTCGGCTAAGGAATGCAGTCGTACCACATTTTCCACATTGAAAGATGAGAAGTTTAAAATTTGTTTATTGAATATACCTCAGTTAATTTAAGATAAGGCATTCTTTTCATAATGTCAATCACTGACCTATACACCATACTCAGGATAACTGACCACCTACTATGAATTCATAAAATATACAACCAAATTAGGTTTTACTTTTTCATAGTTATTCTTATGCAATATGAAATAATAATTTCTTTGAAAAATGCAATCATATTTTGCAAAAGACTCACCTAAATACACTCGACAACTAAATGATAAGTTGTTGTTTAATATCGTGAATTAAAGTTATAACGTTGCCTTATGTATTTGTTGGGTTTGTGGGATTTTCATATCTTATTGGTTGTTATCAGATGAGTTGTGAGAACGGTGTTCCGATTGGCTTGCAAGATAACTATCAAAATAGTTTGCATTGACCGAACCCTGTTCAGTTTTGTACTGTACATATATAAGATTAGTTACGGACAGGCTGTATGAAGTTGTTAAAGACTGAGAGGAAAAACCTAGAGATAACCAGATAACCAACTGAGTAGTTAGACGCCTATTGTATGTATGGGAATACTTTAGTATCATTATAACACTGATCTGGAATTAAATTGTAAAAAGATGTTATGAGGAGCTCATATTTTATGAACTACCGAGTTGTTTATTTTTTTAAATTAACCAACCACGTTTAGGTGTGGAGAAAGTTATAAATCAGTGAAACTGTTTAGTTATGACAGGAATGTTCTAAGAACAACAGGAATGCCCATCAAACATAGTTTGAGGTGTAAGGGAGTAATCATATAATTTTTGTTTACAAGAAGATACATTAAAGAAAATACCATTTTTTTATCGCTTAAGCCGGAAGATTACATATAAATTTTCCTAACAGTCAGGGTGTGTGTCTACAAATTTACTTGCCCGTAAAGAGTTAGTTCAAATAGGCTGAACAAACGATCACTTTTGAAACGTATCTCTGAACACCATACTGTATGGCTATCTAGGGTAGGATGTGAATAAAATAATACTTCAATTTCCGAACACTTGATTAACTCTGAACATAAAGCTCCCCCTTAAATATTAATTACACAGTCAAAGGCAACAGTAGAAAACTGGTAGGTTTTTCGATAGTTGTGTACAGTAGAAGTACTGGCAATCCATTGATTCGAGTCTGGTCTCCGTGGACAAAAGAAATATGATCAGTTCTTTGTCTTAACGATCTCACAATCTGGGATTTCATTTAGTTAGTTTACTATTACCACCTCAACTGTGACACCTGTCTCCTTCTTCACCTTCTTTATATCTAGCAATGGACACTAAACCTACACCTTTTGCATCTACCAACAGTTTTCACTATGTCAAACTCCCTACCTTTTTCATTATTTCCGTTATCTATAAGATTGTTATGCAAGTATCCTCCATTCTAGACTTCAAATTTTAGCGCTAGTCCAATGATGAAATCATAAACTGATACTCAGTAGCAAATCGTTTGTGATACATATAATTACGATTGTACAGCTTTAGATAATGATGTAACTGAAAAAGAAAATTTTCTTCTCTGAATCGTCTCCTATTTACAGGCAGTTTATGAAAAGTCAGACGATTGTAAGAAAAATTTACAAAATATCTTTAGTTTGAAAATAATTACCGACTTGATGGGGATATTTTTAGCTCAGGATGTCAACGTTCAAAATGAGCTGTGTTCTGATCAGGGGTTTCTGGTCGTCAAATTTTCATTGTCACGTTAAGTATCTTTATCAGTGTATTAGTGCGATGCAGTGAAGCAGTGAATAACCCAGTCAAAACAGCTCAGAACCTGCTATACCATAGCTTAAATCTGACCTAATCCTTTCACCCTCTTCAATGAATACTGGATGTTATTTTAAGATTATATGCTACTTGATTCATAGTTGCTAAAGTTCTTGATAAAAGGTTTTAATAACTTTCTCATCTAGGACCTTATCTATTTCCATCCAAAAGTTCAGTATACATTCGTTTATGAAACAATCTTTGAAATAAACAACAATAAATGATAAGAAAAAATTCAATCTTACTTCCAGTATAAATAAATAGGAGGTAACTCAGCAAAAAATATATCTTTAAAAACATTCCATGTATTTCTGTTAAAAATGAAAAAACGTATTCTACAAGATACATTATCTTACACAGGGGGATCACTTTGCGCATAGAAGAATAATGCAGGGTACATCTTTAGCGGCGTTGTCCAGCTAATTGTATCAAATACTCATTACAATATTTTAATTTTGCTAATAGTACCCCTCATATTGTAGATCGGTTAGTTCTTCTATAAAACGTTTCATTGGGCAGAAAAGGTTTATTAAGCGCTTCTTTCTGATTGGTTATTGTTTTAAGTGAACCATTTTCCATTATTATTATTATTATTACTTATCCCTTGGGTTCTTAATAGAACATACCGCTTCAGTAGCACGTCTCGATTCCACTCTCTTCTCTGAAGTCTTTTCGACCTGGCTCCACAACAACTCACAAGCTCTCATCTCCTCCTCACACAACCTCCTCCATGTCACCCTCGCCCATGACGCTCAACTCGTCGCTTCCTATCTGGGTTCCACTCGAGTACATGGCCTGGCCTGACGCGTGTTGTCCCCAGTCGAACTTCTTAGTGTATGCCTATCCCAATCCATCTCCACTTCCTTCTACATATCTGTTGAGTGATAGGTTCTTGCCTCGTTGGTTCGTTGCCAGTCAGCCAGAATTCCATTCCTTGTTGCTTATTCTTATTATTCTGGCCATCTGATCTTCAGTGTCAGTAACGAGCCAGTGTAGGCGGCAGTTATTGATGAATGTCTGTAGTTTGTTGGAAATGCCTTTCGTAACGCGCCAAGTCTATCAACCATCACATAGAAGCACTGACTTGACTGGTGTTGGTGTCACCGGTGAAATCTAAATCTTCTTCTGGAGTCTTTTCATCGGTCAACACAGCGTATGCCCATCTTCTTGCTCTTCACAGCTGGCTGAATAATCCAATCCACCACAATCGGAAAGATGGTCGGTGATGGTAGGCAGCCAGCCAGCCTAGTCCGCTAGTAATTTTGAATCCAGAGTATCTTGTAGTCTCTCCAGGATGATGCAAATTAATATTTTGCCGGGGTGGACAGGCTGCCATCACATAAAAGCACTGACTTGACTGGTGTTGGTGTTGGAAATCCAGATTCTGTTCACACTTTATGCTGAGTGCAGAAGATCTCCACACTGGTTTCAGGTTAATGAAAGCCTGTCTTGCTGTGTTTCCGATACTGGCTGCCTTTGACATCCTCACCTGTGCCATCACCTGTAGTTGGAACAGTGATTCCTAGATAGGTGAAGGAGGCTACTTCTTCTAGATATCTCGCGTTCATGGTGATTGGTGTTTGTTGTTGGTTGAGTATCTTCATCACCTCTGTCTTCTCTACATTCATTTGAAGTTTCATCTTCGCTGTTCTGCCTCTTCTGTCAACTTGTTAGTTTTCGCCCGTAAATCCTCAAGTTTGTGTGACATTAGACACAAGTCATCGTTGGTGAAATCTAGATCTTCTTCTGGGGTCTTTCCATCGGTTTGGCCAGCGTATCCCCCTCTTCTCGCTCCTCACTGTTTGTTGCATGATCCAGTTCACTACAATCAGGAATTCCATGGGTGACAGTGGGCAGCCTTGTTTCACTCCTGTCTTTACTCCAAAAGCATCAATGGACTTCCCATTGTGAATTACTTGGCATATGGCGTCTTCATATAGTTGTTGAATGAGGCTGATAAAGGTTTACCGTATTCCGTAGTGTCGAAGCAGTTTCCGAATTAATTCTCTGTCGACTCTGTCAAAGGCCTTCTCAGAGTCGGTGCAATTGAGGTATAGGGTTGACTACCATTCTATACTCTGTTTTATGATGATGCGTAGAGTACCGTTGCAATTTGATCCGCACATGATTTGTACTTCCTAAAGCCAGCCAGCGTGCTCCGGTCGTAGTTTCGAATCCACTGCATCTTTTAGTCTCTCCAGGGTGATGTGGCCTAATATTTTGCTTAGGGTGGACAAAAGTGGAGCGTGATTCCGTGCCAGTTCTTGCAAACACTGAGGTCGCCCTTCTACGGCAGTTTGACAAGATAGCCCTTTTTCCAATCCACTAGCAGGTACCTTCCCTTCCTTCCTTCCTTCCTTCCAGACCTTCTGCAATGGTGGTGTAAACATGTTGGCTGTTGTCTCTGCGTCTGTTCTCAGTGCTTCTGGCGGGATTCCATCTTGTCCTGCTGCCTTCCTGCATTACAATAGCTTGATAGCGTTCAGAACTTCCACTTTTGTTGGAGGATTCGTGCCTTTTTTTGGTAATTAAATTTCCTTCATCATATTTTATTGGTTTCATCTGTGTTGATCTCTTCCCTCACAGATAGCAACCTGGTTACTTGATACAATTTTGTCACGTCTCTGTCTCTCTTACCTGCAGCCTGTTCTCCTTCACTTGCCAGTGTGTCGTGGAAGTGTCCTTTGTCTTTGCGCGTACTCTTCTTCACTTATTTGTCCAGTGTAGTGTTTCATACATTGTGCACAGATCCTCGTCTCGTTGCGCATCCTTGCACTGGTTTATCTTCTGCTTCACCATCACCATCCTCCTCTCCCTACTCTATCAGCTTCCATACGTTCATCAAGATCCATTCCTTATCTTCTTTCTTCTTCCTTCTTAATACAGTCATGCAGGTTTCTTTCCACATCTCCCTCAAAGACTTCCAGTCTTATTCCACACAGGTTTCTTCACGGATGTCCCTCCATATCTCCCACTTTGTCTTGATGACGTGAAGATGTCCATGATAGTTTCGTCCTTCAATTTCTATTCTGAGTGTTGAACCTGAACTGTGGTCTATCACCTACCTCCTTGAATTAAAGGCTTTCAACCTGATTTTGAGTCAGGTACTTTGCAAAAGATAGTCACTGGTGTGGACCTATTTCTGCTCCTCTTCTTGATCTGATCTTGCGTCCAGTGGGCTACATCTCCTCCTTCTTCACATTGAGATCAAGTCGATCTGATCTGTAGTGTAGTGTGTCCTGGTGTCTGGTGAAATCGAATCCATGTCACTACCTCCTGAATATTCTTGTGTTTGTACACACTGCATCAAATCATCAAATCATTCAATGTGCAGAATTCTGCAAACAATTCTCCATTCTCGTTCACTGCTTCACAGAGTACTTCTCGACCCATGGTCAGTTCTCTTCGTGTATTGTCCGCTCCCAGTTTGGCATTCATGTCACCCCATCCATTAGAGTTTTGATGTTACCAACTGGGGTGAGGTCTTGTCCAGTGTTGATTGCAGTTGTCTGTAGAATTCCTCCTTTTCCCCTCACTCTGCATTATTTGTAGGTGCATAGCGTAGCACTGAATGATTGTGACCTTCCTTCCTTCCTTCCCTCCTTTTGAGTCGAACCTTGCTGTCATGATCCAGCAGGAGGAGATTGGTTCCCACAGCATGACAGAGAGCCTTCGATGCTCTTCAAGGGGACATCATGATAGCCACTCCAAAACTCAGTGTGCTCGTGGTTGTCGTCTGGGTGACGATATCGGAGTAGATTATTGACTCTCCCCTACAGTTGACAGTTTGGAGAGTCCATTCCCATTCCATCTACTTTCGCAAATTCCAAGCACTTCAGTGTCATAACTTCTCATCTCCTTTGCAATCTGGACTGCCTTGCCAGGTTCAAACATGGTGTGGACATTCCATGTCCCCACGTTCACTTTAGCTTTGATCGAGAGAGAGGTGACACATCGGCCAATTGGCTTCCTGAGGACAGGCTTTCACCAACCGGCTTCATTTCGCCTCTCCGATTTCAGCGAGGAATAATTTTGT